TTTTTTGATATTTTAATGACTAGTGAGACTATCTTTTATTTTTCTTTAATACTATCAATTTCAAACCTCTTGTTAAATCAGAGGTTCATGTTAAAAAGAGGATAATTTTTAATGTTAATGAGAATGTTGAACATGAACAAAGGGTATAAATATTTCTTTTAAATACTGTTTGTCTTTTGGTCAAAGTAATAGCATTTTATTGTGTCTAAGTTACTAACAATGTTTATTTAAACGCATAATGAATAACATATTCTTAATGATGAAACTAATGATTATTTCTTTAATATGAATATGTTATTCTATTTATTATTGAAGAATGATTTTGTTTATAAAACTAACATATCTATTTCGAGTTAGGAAGAATAAATACATAATTATTGTTTTGCTTATGTATAACATACATAATTATAAATCTCTAACTCATTATTGATACAATAAAAGAAACCAATTGTACTGATAAAAAGAAAATAGATTGAGAGAAGAGAATGAAAATTACTTTACTAGTCTATAAAATACTTTAATATTATAACACATAACACTTTTATTCTTTGTGCCTATGAATGAGTTTTTTTTGAAGAATTTAAAATCCAAGTTAATAGAGTTTATTCATAGTATGTTAATTAATTTTATTGACAACGAAATAAAAAAAGAATATAATCACCAAGAATGTATTAAGAGTTTCTTCTTATGCTTTATTTTTTTAAGTACAACTAAATAAATTTTAATTTACTAATTTACATTAACTACTAAAAATCTCTTCTCAATTAATAAATAATAAATGATTGAAGTGAAATAAATTCCAGTTGATAATTAATGCCATCCTTGTTATTTTTCAACAGATGTATCATTATTTCTATAAGAAACACACAAAGATGTTGATTAGTCTCTTCTGTTTCATAATATAATAAAAGATACATACCATTCTATACTATTAAACCTAAATCACATTTATAAGGAAAAGACTTACTCAAAATGTGTAACTACTCTTTAAAAATAAAAAATAGATAATAGCACTAACACAAACCATATCTAGTCAAGTTAGAGAAAGTGGATTTTATTGAAGTAGTATTTATAAATCTTTGACAACAACAAGACACATTACATCTAACTTAGAGTATTAGTAAAATTAATTTGAAAACACTTACAACACTTAGTATTATTAACAACTTATCTAGGAAAGAGTTAAAAAACACCTACAATAAAAAGACTGATTCAATTATTGTATTGTTTGCATCTAATAAGCTTTTTCTAAAAACAAAAGTTTCGAGTATTTTATTATAACTTTAGTTATGAACTATTAAGAAAAATATCTGCTTTTTCCTTCTACCTTCTATAAGTTGTGAGACTTTGAACATTAAAACTAAACAATAAATATGTTATTATAAAAAATAAGTTTTAAATGTTCTAAATTAAAAAATGAGTTTCTAGTCTTTATAATTTATAACGATTAACAATATCTAATAACACTACTCTCATTCCTCCAATCCCTTGGTGATGTAATTCTGCTCCTGTCTGTTGGCAAATGACATCTCCTTCTCCAGCATGAATTGCATTTTCAATCAGACGTAATGTTTCTTGAAATTGATTAGAACGAATGTTATCAATGATAACAGAAATTAGTTCTTCATTGGTTTTTCCTTCAATCTCTTCAGGGGGACAAAGAAGTGCTAATTCCCTTACATCCTCAGGATGTTCTTTTAGTGTTTCTTCAATTGTTTTACAATTAAGTACTTTATTTAAAGAAACATCAGCAATAACAATCTTTCCATTTTTGATAGTATATATTGGTTGAATTTGTGCTGGAATTGTTGTGTCAAAAGCTTGGATTTGTTCTCCATTAAATACAGCTTGCATTAACTCAATTCCTTTATAAAAACTATTAATGTCATTTTCTTGGTTCCAAAAGAAAAATGATCGTTTAGTTTCTTTAATCTGAACATACCCACTATTTTTTTGAGGTATAGGTTGTGCAATAACATCTCCAGGAAATACAATCATTTCAGTGTCTATAAATGGAGTTTCTTTTTTTTTCCACTGAAATGTAATCATCCCTTCTAATGACTAAATCAATTAATTACAATACTTTTGAAAATTGTCTTGTAGTGAAAATATAAAACAAACAACAAATACAGAAATAATCCCTTTCTCTAACTTTGGTATAAGAGTTTTATTACTAAATTCCAACTTCCCTGCTTTAAATCGAACCAAACAATTCTATTCAAAATGAATGTAATTCTTTATTTTGTATTTACAAATTGAAAAACATTTAAACACCATCCACAAAACAAACACCTTTCTCAAAATCCATTTCTATGAAACTGTTTTATTTTAAGATTGAAGTTGTATTTTTCATAAAAATAAAATGATATATAAAACAAAATTATTTTTAATCAGCGAACTTTTTGGAAGACAAAAGCACAGTAATAACTAATAATTTCCCATTGATTATTTGGCATATAATCTATCTTCCCCATTTTATCAAGTAATTCATTATATTCTTGAAACTTTATCCATTCTCTATAGAATTGATGAAAATCCCAAAATCCAATTAATTTCAATCCATGTTCTTCACAAATTTTTTGAAATTCACAAAATGGAATAAGATATTCTGGTAAATTGTCAATAGCATCTTTTAATTCAAAATAATATTTTGCTCCATATGTAGGTATATTCTCTTTATCAAATTGTTCATCAAAACGAATAGTAAATAACTCATTTCCAAATTTATTTCCTGGAACAGTACGTAATTTCTTTACTACTCTATATGCATTGACTGTTGTTCCAACAAATAATCCTCCTTTTCTTAAATATTTTGTTAAATTAAAAACTGCTTGATAAGCTCTTTCTTTTGTTTCAAAACTATAATGAATAGCAAATTGACATGAAACAGCTTCAAATGAACTATTGCTTGGTATTTTATTTAACAATTCTGAACTAAAACAATCTTCTTTAATTGTTTTCAAATTAAATCTAAATGCTGGCTCTCTTTCTTTATATCTTTTTTCTGCATCTTTTAATGACTCTCCTGAAATGTCACATGTTAATACACTCCTAACACTATTTTGATTAAATTTAATATAATCACCTCCTTTCCCTCCACAAAAATCTAATACTCTTGAATGTTCTGGAATATATTTTCTGATTAAACACGCTTTAACCCAATTATTATACCGTTTCAATGCTACAATTTCTGAGTATTTACGTTCTTGAACATTTCGTTGTTTCTTTGAATCATACCCTCGTTCAACATCTCTTCTATCCATTAATTTTATTTCCTTTTTTCTAGTTCCTTCTCTTTTTCTTTTTGTTGCTCATAATTCTTATTATATTTTATTCATTCTTCCATTATCCTTGTTCTTTCTTTTGTTTGTAATCTTTCTTTAATACATTTATTTAATTCTATTCTCCTAATAACACTTAGAATGTGTTGTATTGATTTGTTTTAATATAGTTCATTGATTTGTTTTATGCATTATTATTTATTAAATCTATTTCATTCAAC